ATACCAATAGAGAAATTATGCAATTTTATTTTGATGAGATATTTAAAATAGCCTCATACTTGTATATTATCACGTAATATTTTTTTTTTAATTTAAGAAAATTTTTTTTACTAAACTAACTTGAGTTTACCTCATAAAAAATAATTTTTCATAATTACAAATATTCTAAAAATTGTTTTTAAAATATTTTTAAAATATAATAAACATATATACAAAATATGATATAATTTAAATTTGAAGTAAAAAACTGCCATGAGGCTTTAAGGAATCGCATAAATGAAACCATTAAATATTGACACTGAACGTCTTTAAAAGATGAGTAAAAGCATTTTAAATAAAAAATATTATATATGTAAACAAAAATGAAGGAAAGGAGGAAAAAGGATAAATTAAATATCTAGCTCAAGGACTGATTATGAGTTTCCCCTTGATGCATTGCAGCTTAGATATTTGTTAGTCGTACTTGTTGATGAAAGTGGGAATTTTTGCTGGCTAACCTTAGATAAAACTTTTACTCGTATTCCCCATGCAAGCAGTCGATCTGTAAGCAGAGAACAAATAAAAAGGAAAGTACATGCAGAAACAAAAAATAGAAACAAAATTAAATAAAATAAAATGAAACTGAATGAAATAAGCAAAATAAAATCCTCGAGTTAAGTAAGCTGGCTTAGGTGCTCCAATTCAAAATTCGACACAAACGGAAATAAAGTAATAATAATTTTAATATTAAAAAAATTGTATGAAAAACTTTACTCGTTAATTTTAGAAACGAGTAAGGAGATACTAATAAATTAAAAAGATATTTAAACACTTTACAGTAGTTTGGAAAGGTGTAGTTTATTCTGACAAAATGTTTATAAATAACAGACAGAATATATTAAAGTTCACATAAGCTAGCCTTAATCTTAATCACTTTCAAAGAATAAATTACTGATAATAAGTCATCTCTATGGTTATGTTTGTTTATTACTACATTTAGAATCTAAGCGTGTTTTACGACATTCTTCCATTCCTTTTTGATTTTTAACTTTGTTTTTAGTTGCTGATATTTATCTTCTATTCTACACATTATCACCTAATATTTAACCTAGTTCTTCTCGTTTCTTATTGTGCTAAATTCGCCTAAAAATATTCACGATGATGTCCTTACTTTATGCATATATAACATGTTCTATCCATATCAATTGTTGTTTCTTTATATGCCGTAAATTGTAAGATTAGATGATTAATTTTATCATCTGGTTGTATGTGATATTATATTTGATAGTTTGTTCATTTCTGTATATTAATATGTCCAAGCTTCACACCTGTAAGTCACTACTGGCTGTATTATTGTTTTTCAAACCAGCATCTTCGTTTTTCTCTTCGAGTTTCTCTAGAAAACATAGACTTTTACACGCTGTAGTGGATTCCACTTACATCTTGTATTGTGTGTTGAATATTCATCATCTTCTCATTAAAAGCGACTCCTAAGTATTTGTAGTTGTATAAAAGCAATAGTCTCCAGTACAAATAAAGACGGTTGTAACTTTTCAGTAGTCTGTGCGAAATTAGCAACAAGATCACTAGTACCCAAAGGGTTCGAAGCTTTAACACTGGCAGCTAACCTTTAAGTATGGATGTTAATGATATAAATCTGAGGTTTTGTTAAAACTGAGTGAAGTAAAATGAAGTAAGTTCAGAGTGCACCCATCCAAAGGCTCAGTAAAGGAAGCAGTTAAAAAACCGGGGCTCAGGCTTAATACAGAAAGTAAATTACTTTCTATTTAATAAAAAATGATCAAATTGAATAAACAAAAAAACTTGTAAACTTATAAATGTTAGAAGAAATTTATTCGGCTACCTCTTTTAGATTTAAATGAGGACATTAAGATATCAGTTCCTTTACCTTAGCGATGTTAAATACAGCCTACCAGGGCGAAGCAAATCTTTCACTAAACTTCGATGACTGTTAAATACATTGTACCGCTCATATGCACGTCTTTTTGATAAAGCCGATTCACCGTAGATCCTAGGTGACATCTTTAGTCTCTCGGCACAAGAAATTCCATTTGCAATACAAAACTTCCTAACTTCCTATAAGAATCCTTTATTCCTATTCCTTTTTATTTTTTTGCGATTTAAGCAAAAGACACCCGAGTTGAACTTACATAATAGCATAATAGCTGGTGTTATAACACCGAACAATATACCTCACCACACAGTTTTTTTTTCAGATAATAGATATTAGCAGAATCTGGTTTCAAAAGAGACGCAGCTGACTTAGGCCTTACACATGGCTCCATCGTGATGCAACAATTTTAAGTTACTTGTATGTTTTTATTATGCATTCTGGTGTTAGTCCTCACCAACTAGCATTGTCCAAAATGCTGGTATACAAGCTATCAAAATTGATAAAGAGGTATCATAAAATTGTTAAAAGTCATGCTAACCAAACTTTTAGCCAGGTTCGAGACTTAGACTTGGGAGACTTGGGAAAGAAGTGACAGTTTAATTATCATAAGCAGAGATGCACCACGAGTTGAAATCCTAACGGCACATTGCAACACGCCCATAAATGATCTGCTATTAAGTAGGATGATTGTATATATAAAATAACTTCATAACCAGATTTGATATATTTAAAAACCAGAAATTGAGAATTCGAAAAAAAATTCAGGCATTGAAATGGCATTGAAATCCTTAAAAAAACTTCTTAGGTTTGACCGTCTCGGGCTATTAATGTATTCAGAACTTTAAATAGACTTTAAATACTTTTTGAAAACTTAGGTAGTATCTTATTAATAGCGGGTTATAGATATTCAGGTACTACAAGTAAACGTAAATTATATACTCTTTTGATTAATCAAATTTTGATGAAACTTCATGGTACTATTTTTACGATATTTCAGACTACCCCTGTATCACAGAATTGTGTTTTACGACAAAAACTCGTCTTTCTTCAAATTAACTTGAGGTAGATATTTCTTCCGAACCAAAACCGAAAACCAAACTTCTGTCTCATTAATAATTTATTTCTTATGCAACATTTTTTCTAAAGTTTTAGTTTTATATGAAACGAAAGTAAAATTTCTAAACAAATATTTATCTCACGGTGCATAGAGAAATCTTACGGTCGGCTTCATACGATTTTTCAAAAACATATACCAATGAAAATGGCATTAGGTCAGCTATAACTTTTCGGAAGTTTATCAAGATAATTTGCATAACCAAGACATCTTGTAAAATTTCAGAAAGGGATTATTTCGATGACAAAAAGAATGATTTTGGTTGACAATTAACATCATCAAAATGTTTAATTAAACATCCAGGAAATATCTGGCCAACAGAGCCAAAACTAAACGCATCGTGTGTTTTGCTTTGCGGTACCTGTCGTGCTTCTATTAAAACTACATGTCTTCCGCATTCATAAATTCAATTTCATATAAAAAACAAAAAAATTTCAACGGGAAAAATTGTTTAACTCAAAGCTCTAGAAAGTTTTAAAAAAGCAGAGACCTACCACGCATTTAGATCAAACGTCATATGTCATTTAAGAAAATATAAAATATACAATCTTTCATAAGAATTCAGTAATTCAATAAAGAGAAATTATTTAGTATAGGTTTAATATACTATACTATAATTAACTGAAACAATCAAACAGATAATTAAAATTTGCTCTTGAACCAATACACCGTTAAATCATACTTTATAATAAACATTTATTAAACTTATTAATACACAATCTACTAACTCATATCATACGGATTTTATAGAATTGAAATAGTAAAGGAAATAAGAATTAAACTCTTATTCCGAATTTATGTGAACGAGTATACTAATATCTTTATAACAGCACTAATTTTTACTTAAGAATTCTTTCTTCTGCCACAAGAAATTTATTTCGAATAAAAAAAAGTGGATTATAGTGAGAATAATTTTAAATGTACCAAAATATTCTTATATTATTATCGATAGCGAAATTGATTACATCAGTCAAAAAGTCAAGGAGTCAGTACTCAGGACCCAGTAAGTAGAAAATATACAATCTTTCATAAGAATTCGGTAATTTAATAAAGAGAAATTATATAGTATAGGTTTAATATACTATACTATAATTAAATGAATCAATCAAGCTGAAATTTATAGCAGAAGATTAAGACTTGCACTTGAACCAATACACCGTTAAATCATACTCTATAATAAACAATTATTTAACTTATTAATACACAATCTACCAACTCATATCATACGGAATATAAAGTCGAATTTGTTGTCGAATTCAATTATATATCATGTGTGCATATGTAATACACATGTTATATTTTTATGTATTTCAGTATTTTATGGATCATTATTTATTATTATTTTAAAGAACTCAAAGACAATAGTTATATATGTACAAAATATATTTGGCCTTGAATTAGGATCAAAAGAGGCAACTTAATATTAGTTATTATGTAGTATTAAAGTTAATCATTCAATAAAAAATCGATCTACATGACAAACATTCACTAAATATATGCAATTATAAGTTTATGTGAGATAAAAAAGTAATTCTATATATTCTATATAACTATAGAATATTTACATATACGGTACACTGCAGTATCTAGCCCGGTTGGTCTTATACGGATTTCAAAAGTATTTATATATGGAAATGATCATTTAGCATACTAGAAAGAATTGTTATTTCGAACAACTTTTTAACTATGCCACATAACAACATGGCTTATGCCAATTAATTAATTAATGTAAAAAGTTAAGCACTTTTAACCTTGATAGTTGAAGAATTAAACTATATCGACGTTAAGTATAGTAGAAAATATTGCTCAAAATGAATCGATTTTACTTATCCGTTATGAATCACACTTATATACTTATCAGCTAAATGCAGTGAGTTCAGTTTCTTCTCAAACTTAATATAAATTATTCCGACCCTTTCAGATACCCCTTGACGATGTTGGGAAACACCATTAAATTCTCGGGTATAAAACAAAATATAACAAAATACCATATAACAAAAGATGACTTTTTATTGCTTTATTTGATACAAAATATAAGACCAGAAAACCTGCTCAATACACATTCTATTTTATGAATTTTTTTCGTGCCTTGAATATGTGTCCAGTTTTAATAGTATTTTTTATAGATGGAATAGACGGAAGGGTCAACAGAAATCAGAGTAATAATCAATAATATAGATTGAATTTGCATTCCCCTAAATGAGTTCTAGCCTTCCTACTAGCCTTGTTGTAGGTTTCGCCTAGAGAGTAATTCAAACCAGGAACATGACCACCATAGCTCGACATAACACCTGTTTTTGGATATACTAGGAAATCTTGCTTGAAGCTAGCCATATAATCAGATGCACATGGATTATGGAACGGCTCACATGCATTAAATAGAGCACCATCGCATTTCGGGCAAGGTTCCAATCCTCGCATTCTATCTCGTAAATGAATGAAATCTCTCAAAGCGAACTTATTTAAGATAGCTTGAGTTAAACCAAAACGGCTACTTGCCATTGGTACATGGCCCGCATAACCTGGAAGCATAAGATATACAAGACATTATTAACAGATATATTTAGATTGTGATGGATTACTAACTATATAAAAATAAATATATACACTTCAAGCATGTGTATTACATGCATTAAAAACATGATTTACTTACCCGTCATTAAGTACTTCTGAACGTCTCTGTTATCCAGGTAAGGTATAGGAGTCTCCCGTGCATATCCAGTGTCAACAATTTGTCGCTTGCCATCACAAGGTGGTTTCGGATCAAGTTTAATGGTAGCTGACGTGGGTGTAGTTTCCATCAATGGTGGCCTATATTTAGCCGAAGTGATCTGAAATTAATATATTTTATTATAACATATTATATGTGTACTTCAAATCAACATTATTATCTACTATTTTATGTGATTACTTACGTATCGCTCGTGCGTTTTAGTTCTGAAAACACCTAACCCGGCATTCAACACATCTCTATGCGCTAATGTTCTTCGGTGGCAATTGTCGCTATGGACTCTAGCATTTAGTGCAATCACTCCATCTTCTGCCGCTGCCAAGAAACGTTTTCCAACTATTGTATAGTACTTAGGTAAGTGACCACCATAACCTATCAATATCGGATGTCTGTATTTAACATCGCGTTGATGTTCACGTTCCTCTAATATACGCAAAGTTTCTGGATTGGGATCACTGTACACGGGTTTTTTAGCTCTGACCTCGGTGAGTATGTACTTTGGAGAATGATATGTACATCTATTAACCAATAAGTCATAGGTCATAGCGCCATACGATTTACCATAGTATTCCTTTGCACAGGGACAGTGACCAGTGTACCTTGATGGTTATTAATCGTACACATTTCAATTGAACAATAAATTTTCGAAGAACACATAGTTAACATGTACTTACCCAGGTATAAAATGTGGGTCTGGCGAGGATTCGGTAATTGCATTTCTGGTTTTTACACTTGACTGCTCCATGTTTGCACTTTTTTTTGTCTTGTTTTACTACATAGAATTTTGATGTCTACTAAAACAATTTTACTACATAACTGTGATAAACATTTTTATTTCAAATACTTTAAATATTTTTTTACATATATTTTCAAGGCCTACTTGAGCATATACTTCAATGGATCACAGAATTAATAATATTAAAAACGAGTTCAAATGTAGATTAATAAAACGCATTTGATTCAACTATTCAGCAGTGCATTTAAGAGCCCTCTTAAATAAATTAATGTACTTCAATCAACGTTTGCTGTACGTATGTCATACAAGATTCCAGAACTTAAAATATGTGGTAAAAGATAATAACTTAGTCTTTGGTATGACGGTTAAAAGATTTAGATTTAAGACAATTGATATTACAATTTATATCACGAAATTCATGACTTTCAAAGGAACGGTAAACAGATCAAAAAATATTATAGATGAAGCAAAATAATATACTCAAGTAGATCAAAAGTAATATAGCGAGTATTTTCAATTAAATATTCAAAATAGCAAAAAGAAACTCAATGTAAAACTTTACGAGGAGTCAAAATTGAAAGCATTTTTAAGTTAAATAGATTTTTGGGATTCATGCGGCAATATTATTAGGAGAGCATATAATTATTGCAAAGTTACTGTCATAGCATGCTACCAATGTAACACAGCTGCGATATTCATTTATTCTGAACTAGCAAGCAGAGAACTAAATAATACATAAATTGATAAAATGTGTAAAATGCATTTCGAAAAGTTGAAAATGAAGAGAATCATTTAGTACTAAACTAAATTCTGCACACCCATAAACTTACTGTATATATTTGTAGAACACTAACCTTTAAACTTAAAGTACGTTAATAACAACTGCTTCGATAACACGTGATATGTTGTTTTCAAAACATCTATGTTATCTATATCTACGTCTGCATGAACTTGAACAAGGTCCGATATACAACTAGAGACTTAATATATATGCATGAATTTAATTTTAATAAAGTAGTATCTTATGTTCAAATACGCTAATTAGCACCCTGTAATAAATAGAAATGACATTGCTACAATAGCATGAATATCTTTGAACGTTCACATGACTCGAATTATAAAAATTATTGTCCAAACAAAATATTATCCAATTAAGTGCAAAATATTTCCACTACAAGACACAACAGTAGTGGCATACCTTAAAATTAACGCAACAAATTAGATAAATCCAGAAAAATACTACACATCCAATTAAAACTTTATAAAAGCTGTTATTGTGTACGTACAGTCCAAGAAGTGTGATTTGTTATGAATTCAAAAAAACATTTAACGTATGCTTTGTTTGGGTCCTTTAACTAAATATAAAAATCCAAATTAATATGTTATACAACAAAGACCCGATGACCAGATAACCAGATAACCAGAAAACCAGATAAGGTCACAAATTATAGATTGATTTCATATAGACTGATGAAATCTTTTCTTTTTGCTATTTTGAATATTTAATTGAAAATACTCGCTATATTACTTTTGATCTATTTGAGTATATTATTTTGCTTCACCTATAATATTTTTTGATCTGTTTTCCGTTCCTTTGAAAGTCATGAATTTCGTGATATAAATTGTAATATCAATTGTCTTAAATCTAAATCTTTTAACCGTCATACCAAAGACTAAGTTATTATCTTTTACCACATATTTTAAGTTCTGTTGATCAAGTCATCGGAATCTTGTATGACATACGTACAGCAAACGTTGATTGAAGTACATTAATTTATTTAAGAGGGTTCTTAAATGCACTGCTGAATAGTTGAATCAAATGTGTTTTATTAATCTACATTTGAACTCGTTTTTAATATTTTTAATTCTGTGATCCATTGAAGTATATGCTCAAGTAGGCCTTGAAAATATATGTAAAAAAATATTTAAAGTATTTGAAATAAAAATGTTTATCACAGTTATGTAGTAAAATTGTTTTAGTAGACATCAAAATTCTATGTAGTAAAACAAGACAAAAAAAAGTGCAAACATGGAGCAGTCAAGTGTAAAAACCAGAAATGCAATTACCGAATCCTCGCCAGACCCACATTTTATACCTGGGTAAGTACATGTTAACTATGTGTTCTTCGAAAATTTATTGTTCAATTGAAATGTGTACGATTAATAACCATCAAGGTACACTGGTCACTGTCCCTGTGCAAAGGAATACTATGGTAAATCGTATGGCGCTATGACCTATGACTTATTGGTTAATAGATGTACATATCATTCTCCAAAGTACATACTCACCGAGGTCAGAGCTAAAAAACCCGTGTACAGTGATCCCAATCCAGAAACTTTGCGTATATTAGAGGAACGTGAACATCAACGCGATGTTAAATACAGACATCCGATATTGATAGGTTATGGTGGTCACTTACCTAAGTACTATACAATAGTTGGAAAACGTTTCTTGGCAGCGGCAGAAGATGGAGTGATTGCACTAAATGCTAGAGTCCATAGCGACAATTGCCACCGAAGAACATTAGCGCATAGAGATGTGTTGAATGCCGGGTTAGGTGTTTTCAGAACTAAAACGCACGAGCGATACGTAAGTAATCACATAAAATAGTAGATAATAATGTTGATTTGAAGTACACATATAATATGTTATAATAAAATATATTAATTTCAGATCACTTCGGCTAAATATAGGCCACCATTGATGGAAACTACACCCACGTCAGCTACCATTAAACTTGATCCGAAACCACCTTGTGATGGCAAGCGACAAATTGTTGACACTGGATATGCACGGGAGACTCCTATACCTTACCTGGATAACAGAGACGTTCAGAAGTACTTAATGACGGGTAAGTAAATCATATTTTAATGCATTTAATACACATGCTTGAAGTGTATATATTTATTTTTATATAGTTAGTAATCCATCACAATCTAAATATATCTGTTAATAATGTCTTGTATATCTTATGCTTCCAGGTTATGCGGGCCATGTACCAATGGCAAGTAGCCGTTTTGGTTTAACTCAAGCTATCTTAAATAAGTTCGCTTTGAGAGATTTCATTCATTTACGAGATAGAATGCGAGGATTGGAACCTTGCCCGAAATGCGATGGTGCTCTATTTAATGCATGTGAGCCGTTCCATAATCCATGTGCATCTGATTATATGGCTAGCTTCAAGCAAGATTTCCTAGTATATCCAAAAACAGGTGTTATGTCGAGCTATGGTGGTCATGTTCCTGGTTTGAATTACTCTCTAGGCGAAACCTACAACAAGGCTAGTAGGAAGGCTAGAACTCATTTAGGGGAATGCAAATTCAATCTATATTATTGATTATTATTCTGATTTCTGTTGACCATTCCGTCTATTCCATCTATAAAAAATACTATTAAAACTGGACACAAATTCGAGGCACGAAAAAAATTCATAAAATAGAATGTGTATTGAGCAGGTTTTCTGGTCTTATATTTTGTATCAAATAAAGCAATAAAAAGTCATCTTTTGTTATATGGTATTTTGTTATATTTTGTTTTATACCCGAGAATTTAATGGTGTTTCCCAACATCGTCAAGGGGTATCTGAAAGGGTCCGAATAATTTATATTAAGTTTGAGAAGAAACTGAACTCACTGCATTTAGCTGATAAGTATATAAGTGTGATTCATAACGGATAAGTAAAATCGATTCATTTTGAGCAATATTTTCTACTATACTTAACGTCGATATAGTTTAATTCTTCAACTATCAGGGTTAAAAGTGCTTAACTTTTTACATTAATTAATTAATTGGCATAAGCCATGTTGTTATGTGGCATAGTTAAAAAGTTGTTCGAAATAACAATTCTTTCTAGTATGCTAAATGATCATTTCCATATATAAATACTTTTGAAATCCGTATAAGACCAACCGGGCTAGATACTGCAGTGTACCGTATATGTAAATATTCTATAGTTATATAGAATATATAGAATTACTTTTTTATCTCACATAAACTTATAATTGCATATATTTAGTGAATGTTTGTCATGTAGATCGATTTTTTATTGAATGATTAACTTTAATACTACATAATAACTAATATTAAGTTGCCTCTTTTGATCCTAATGCAAGGCCAAATATATTTTATACATATATAACTATTGTCTTTGAGTTCTTTAAAATAATAATAAATAATGATCCATAAAATACTGAAATACATAAAAATATAACATGTGTATTACATATGCACACATGATATATAATTGAATTCGACAACAAATTCGACTTTATATTCCGTATGATATGAGTTGGTAGATTCTGTATTAATAAGTTAAATAATTGTTTATTATAGAGTATGATTTAACGGTGTATTGGTTCAAGTGCAAGTCTTAATCTTCTGCTATAATTTTCAGCTTGATTGATTCATTTAATTATAGTATAGTATATTAAATCTATACTAAGTAATTTATCTTAATAAATTACCGAATTCTTATGAAAGATTGTATATTTTCTACTTACTGGGTCCTGAGTATTGACTCTTTGATTCCTTGACTTCTTGACTAGTGCAATCCATTTCGCTATCGATAATAATATAAGAATAATTTTGTACATTTAAAACTATTCTCACTATAATCCACTTTTTTATTCGAAATAGATTTCTTGTGGCAGAAGAAAAAATTCTTAAGTAAAAATTAGTGCTGTTATAAAGATATTAGTATACTCGTTCACATAAATTCGGAATAAGAGTTTAATTCTTATTTCCTTTACTATTTCAATTCTATAAAATCCGTATGATATGAGTTAGTAGATTGTGTATTAATAAGTTTAATAATTGTTTATTATAAAGTATGCTTTAACGGTGTATTGGTTCAAGAGCAAATTTTAATTTTCTGCTGGATTGTTTCAGTTAATTATAGTATAGTACAATGTACTGATTTATTTCTCTTTATTGGATTACTGAAGGTTTGTTAAAATCATGTGTTTTCTAGGTTATGAAAAGACATTTCTTTCTTTAATGTGACTTTTGATCTGATTGTGTGGCAGATCTATATTTTTGTTCACTACACTTACTTTAAGTTTGTTTATTTTTTTTTTTT